TAATATCAACTGTGTGTCCTGATGGCAATTTTTAGAGTATATATTTTAATTGTGTTTTAATTGTCTTATCTTTTTATTGTATTTTAATTGTTGTAAGCCTCCCAGAGACCTTTGGATAGCGTGGGCGGCATATAAAACAAACAAACAAACAAATAAATAGGCAAGCCAAATCGGAGCATTCTGGCTTTGCTGTGGCTTGATACATAGTCCCTTTTGATAACATGTAGACCCCAGATTGTTTCATTGCCAGGGTCTGCACAGGCCCTCAATCAGGTGTGATTTGACACATGCCCATAACCCGTGCCCCCTTCCTTTGTTACCAAACATCCCAGCTCTCCTTTCTTGTATTTTCTTGTTCCTGTGCAGAGGTGATCTGGCACTAAACATATACTAAGGCAATGATAAGTTGCTTTAGTTCTCAATTCAGTACAGTAGTTTGTTTTAAACTTTGGGATGACTAGATGGGCAGGGGGGAGGTGCTCCCGCTATCCCAAAATACCATGCCCCAGTTAAATATATCACTGTAACGCTACCCAGAGCCATGGCTCCTATCAGTTTGTATAATGAGACAAGTGGTCACACAGAGAAAACACTGTTTACATCCTTCCAGCTTTTAAAAATTAGAAGCCCTAGCAGGGTGGGGTGGGGACTCAGGATCGGAAGCAAAGCTGGCTGGGCTGATTTGGACTTTGTGTTGGGTGATCACTGAAAAGTACTTTGAATTCATCCATGCTAATTGTGGAGCAAATCCTGAAATATTTATCAGTGTAGATTATGGAGATGAGAAAGGAGAGATTAAAAATGTTATAGGAAAATATGGTACTGTAACTTAAATGCAAGACATAGGGGGAAAGAAGGCTTTGTGAATTCCAGACTCCCAGTGTTGTTTGTAGGATTGGGAGGGAGTGTTGCAGTAATAGATTGCATAAGAAATGGAAGATCATTCTTGTGGATGTAGAAGTCTGAGCATTTTTAGCTAAGAGGCAAGAAAGATTGTACACAATAATTCTGAAAGATACTTCCAATAGCAGCCTCCACACCTGCCATAAACCTCTCCCCTGAACTGCAGCATCAGCTGTTTCCTGGACTGTAAACTGAAAATGCAACTGGGGCTGCAGCAAATCTTAGAAAGGAACTGAAAATATTTGCAGGAGTCACACCCAAGCTGTCTGGGAAAATAGATTTCATCACAGAACTGATGAAAGAAGAGAAAATACCACAGAATATAAAAAGAAGAAAAGTAATTGGGAGTTTGCTTCCACCAGCACTGCGTGTTGCTTTGGGAACACGCAGAACAGCTACTGCAAGAGAATGTATGTGTTGTGTACCCCTCAAGCCCAACTCACTAAAAGTACAGTAGAACACTAAATAGTAAATGGACAGCAGGATGAACTGCTGGATTACTTAGTGGTTTAGGCTTCTGGCTGCAGAGCAAGAGATTGTAAATTCAATTCCTGCTATGCCTCCTTGAAAGGGGCTAGACTCAATACAGTAATCCACAGGGTTCTGCAGTTATAAGATGATGATGATGATGATGATGATGATGATGATGATGATGATGATGATCATCATCATCATCATCATCATCATCATCATCTCCCAGTTTTCTTGAACATTACCTCCTAATTATAATGATGTGAAATTCAGTGTCCGAGCTGGGAACACGTGAAATACAGTAGCAACTGGAATTATTGCACATATTTTTTCCCCAAGAACAGCAGTTAGTGTGATCTCCTAAGGTCTCATACAGACATAACAACAACCCCTTGTTCGTTGTATTGAGAAGCAACCTTGGCTTCCCCAAGCTTCTATGTATGGAAGACATTTTAAACTTCTGTTTTGGTTTGTAATAACAGGAAGGGTGAATGTGTCAAGTCTAATTTATGTACAATTTATTAATCATAAACCATGGATTGCTCCTATATTGGAATGCAACCTAGGGGTCCTCATCAATTTATACATGGAAAAGCAAAAACAATCTCTTTTTTAATTTAACTTCAGTGGCAGCTCTCGGAACAGATTATGCTAACAAACAGCAAACAAAGCAGCTGCTATGGATGCAGTGTAGTGTAATACAGAAACGTATTTCTAATTTTTTTACAGAAAATTGCAGCATTTCTATAAGGGGAAAGTCAAGTTACATGAACTGAAAAATCATGTTACATAGCAATTAATTTATTTCAGTGATGCAAAAGAAAAAAAAGACCCCATATGTGCTCTCTGAACCACAGCAAAGAAATGATGTTGGAAAAAGTAAGTAGGGAACATACTTATATATTTACTATATTTAATCCTAGGAATAATACTAAACATGGTGTCATTGATAAGCTTCATTCACTAATATTAGAAATATGCAGGAAAAATGTAATTTATTTCAGTAAAAGTATATTCAAAGCAATATGCACTAATAATCCTTTTTCCTATTGCTTTACAAATGGCACCCTAGATCACCAGGTCAGAACAGCTAATTAACAGCACAGCTCTACATCTGTATAGTATAATATAAACCATATACTCTGATATAACTTTTGCTGAGATCTATATGGCTTATTCCTAGGTAAATGTGTATGTTATACAACTATGCTTCCTCTCTTAACTCCAACATTTGATTTAAATAAATCTAACATAATGTCACCAAAAAAGAGCAATTTTAACAATTATACCTTGAAAACATAAAGAGGACATGTAGAGGTCCACTTTTGGCTTGTATATATGACTACGGTACCTCAGAATATTAGACTTACCCAACTGGATTAGAACAAAGATGTGGTTTGTTCATCTTTTTGTTTTGAACAAGTCATCATCATCATCATTTGATGCTTTTAAGGCACCAAAAGGCAATTGAAATTACAGGGCTAAACTTTTTTCTCACAATGAACCTTCAAAGCACATTTTACACAAACCTAGATACTACTACTTAATGTGAAACAGATTTTTAAGCAATTGTTGTTTTGCATGCAAATCAACACTATTTGGTAAAATATTTGTGAGAGTTCACATATTTCTCTTGTTCCAGAACTAGCTGACCCTGACAGACAGTATTAGAGACTGGCCATGGAAGAAGAATTTCAATAATTCCAACTACTGAAGTGGAAGGAGACCACACAACAATATCTGAAATATAGTTCCTATTATACCTTCTACTTTTCTTGGTTACAAACTTTCCTTTGTTTCTCTTATTCCACAAACCTAAGTGGAAAACTCCCTCTTCTTTAAAAAAGGGAAATTGGGCTGAAAAAAGAAGCAGATATTTTTGTAATTTTTCCTTAATAGAAACTACAAGTATATGCAAGATGAAGGATATGGATGCAGCAAATTTACTTTCTCTGTTGAAAGCTGAAAACAGATTTTCTACACACCTGATCAATTGTGATGGCTTTTGTTGGCTAGCCAGGTGCACATGGGGGAACATTCGTGTGGACTACGCTGCTGCACATGAGTACAACCATAGCAGCTCTCATGATTATAGGGCTGGCCTAGTTATGTTTTGTTCCGTCAAATTACAGTCATAGCTGTGCCTAGTAGAAACATGCCATTACTTAAACACGGGGAATCTGGCTGTGTGAACCGATTCTTAGTGTTCTCAGTGGGAAACATAAAGTCCAACTCTTTTTGCAGCTTCAGAAATCTTGTGATTTTTTTTCTGAGGGAATGGGTAATAACATAGCTTATTGGAAGTTGCTGTCCATTTGGGGGCTGAATTTTGTGAATGTGTCCAAATAGGTGAAGTAACTGGTGCCAAAGATGAATTGGAGCTGTCTTTTCCCCCAAGAAGAATCAAGTTTTCCTGCTTATTCAATAATCCAGTGGATAGTTCGGTACTTTCAAATAATTCTTCACATGGTTCTTCACTCTTCTGAGATGGTATTTGATTGTCAGTGTGAATCTCTTCATTCTTATTTTGGACAATATCACAGGGAACTTTCTGAGGCTCTTTTCCTTGTGTGAGACGGTGGAGCTCCAAATGTACACGCCATGGGGAATTCTCATGTATATTTCTGCTGCTGGGTAACTCAAGGCAGACGTCTCTGGTGGAAAAAGATTGTTTAACTGCATGTGCTTTTCTTATTTTCTTGTTAATCACAACAGCATTGACCATGGACTCTCTGGGAACTGTCTCACTTTCACCTGCAAAGAAAATGCATATCTCCATATTATTTTCAGTATCACAAATTGGGTTTCTCACAATTTGCTGTCATGATGATAATACGTTGAACAAGAGGAGGAGCTCAAATTTCTGGACCACAAAACTGTAACCAAGAGGCAGTGGTGAACTTTAGTGTCCAACACCATTAAAAGTGGAATGTCCATTTCAACCCCTTCTTGATAAACTTTAAAAATTTGCTCTTAAGGTGGGCGGGGAGCTGCAGAAGCAGCAGGACTCAGCAAAAGTACACTATTGATATCTCACTTGCAACAACAGCATGCGTTGTGTCAAACTGGTGAACGAGGCAGAAAGAGCTTACATGGATCACATTTGTTACCTGCCTATGTGCATATCATTACAGTTTTCTTAAATCATGTACCTATCATGAGAGTGTGGACAAAGTGTGTAGGAATAATGTTTTCTCCCCATGCCCTAATATGGCAATACACAACACATTGCTAAACTATGGAATTCTCCATAGGATGTCGTGTTCTTCATTTGCCTGGATGCATTTGACCTGGGGACACCTTTTGGAACCTCAGGACTGGAAGGGGATGGAGGACAATACTCAGAAATTGCCATCAATAGTCTGGCTGCTAGGACCAGGACTGCTGGTGACAATTCAGTGGTATTAAAAGTTTCTGCCCTATCCTGGGGCTCCTAAACAAAGGCTGCCTCCCAAAAGCAGATTTGTGTTTGTGGACTAGAACTGCCAGAATTTACCGGGGAAATTTGCTGCCGAGGCAATCCTAAGAGTTACAGTAAAAGAAAACTCACACACATCTGTACATCTCTACTTGCCATAATACTAAGATGGTCCTAGGGCTGGGCACCTTGTGTTTATTAAAATGTTTTAAAACATGTTAATGAATTTAGCCTGTTTAGGCTAAATCTCATTAGGGACTGTATGGCAGACTAATTTATTTCAATGTGCCTGAAGTCTTCCTTACCAAAACCAGTCACCCTATGTCTTTCTCAACCATCTTGGAGTTCTTATTCAGGAGAAGAGGCTGCAAGGAGGTAAAAAGAGCTTTTGGGTAAACCTGGGTATGACTGCTGCCAGTTACCGTAAATTGATTTAGGTCATCTATCACTTTTACCATATTGTTCAGTCAAAATATTAAATTGAATTTCTTCAGGTAGTCTGGTAAAATGTATTGGTTGCCTTTCCATAATCTCTTCTATGGAAATTTTAAAAAGCAACTCATTAAAGAATAAGAGACAGACAGGTCCAATGGACCGTAAACAGTGCCACAGAACCTTCGCTGGGCGGAAACTTCATCAAAATGAATGGGAGCTACATAAGAGTACGAGACCTGTTAGGTAAGTCCCTTTGATCTCATGTGGGCCTTGTGCAGAAAAAAAAGTCCCAATGGATTTTCAGCTCATGTTTATCACTGGGCAGTCTATGACATTTGGCTTTTCCACTTCAGGCACCAAAATACCTTGAGTTGGTTCTGCTCCATCATTTTGTATCATTATGCTTCAGAAGTCCCGAATATGTTGGTTAGAAAGGCTCACGATGACATGATTTGATAACCAGCAATTCAAAGTAAAACATTCTCTCCTAGTTACACATTAAAATTACAGGAGCTGCCACAGCACCTTGTTTTCACATAGTCGCCCTTCACGGTAACATTCAATAAAACTTCAAGGTGAACTCCAGCCAGAAGTCATGTTCTTGAAGCAATCTTGACTCTAGCGCATTTTACTTCAAAGGAGCTTGCTCTGAACAAATATTAAGAGAACTGCAATCTAAAATTATTAAAGATTACGGAACTAGTTATCAATAAATACTGCATTGTCTGTATCACTGAAATTTAACATTTATTTTCAGACAGAAGTTGTTTAACTTAAGTCCTGAAGGATATACTTTCTAAAGAGTAGGCCTTTGGTCTAAATGGGCGGGGTAGAAGTCTAATAAAATAAATAAATAAAGTCCACTGGATGCTTCACAGCCATCAACCAACAGTAGGTGCAAAATAGTGATTGATGGACCTAAGGCACTGTTTTTTGCAGTGTCCACAAGACAAACAGGGCAGGATAATGCAGGCAAAATTTGCATTTGTTTTAAGTGACTTCCACACTACAGAAAGCGGAAACTAGGGCAACAGAATCAAAATGGAGTTAAAAACTGAACTTGCCTTCTGGGTTTCTCACATCATCACTCCTGGGGTAGTGGTATATTTGCTCTAGTGCATGATCTGACCATGTGGATCCAAGTACTTGTGTTAAAGCTTGCTGATCCGTGCATGCACTTTGCGGCTGGGTGTCATTTGACAAAGTTTCCCTATGGACATTTTTCTGCTGGTTAGCTGCCATCCCTCCATGACTTACTGCCACCTCTATGTAGTTTTCTTGGGATTAGCAGCTGTTCCTGCATTCTCCTTTTTAAAATTGCTTTTGCACAAATAGTGCAAAAATAAGAACTAAAACAAGCAAAACTGAAGGTCTGAGACTAGTGGGTTGGCTTAAAGCAGAAGAGAGAGCAAAGTAGATGGGGGAGATGATGGGAAAAATATAAACTGTTCCTATGGTCCACTTATTTTTTATTTATTTTTTAAAATAGTATCCCTTTTGCAGCAGAGCATAGAAGTAAACATGCAAATAATCATATAAAAATGGGAAAGTGTTGGGGTAAAGAACTTTCAGAGTTGGGAATGGTGGCTGAGTAAAACAAGAAGAGAAAGGACCAAAAAGTGAAATTAAATTCTTGAGACCTGCATTTGCCCCTCTTGTTTGGTGCGCTGCAGACTGGACCCCTAATTTTTGCATTGCTCACATGACAAGCAGACCAATTTGCTCCAATCTGCTCCCGGGACACCCCAGTAACCCACACCTTTGTAAAGCCTCTGCCACTGGCTTCTACTTTTTTGGTGCCGGCTGGTGTGCACCAGTATAGTCCAGTGTGTGTGGTTGCTGGGAATGGTCTAAAACTGGCCCTTTGGACCTGTCAAAGCTCCTTCCGCTTTGAATTTCCAGTATTGCGAAGGGCTTAATGCATGATCTGCTTCAGGATATCAGCAAATTGAACCCTTAAGAAAATGATTTTTTTTTTTTAGTTGAGGATTTGTCTGCTGCGTGGAAAAGAGAGGTGGAAAAGGTGAGCACGGCTGGAAGGCAGAGTTTGAACAGAGAGGGGTGTGTGGCTCTACAGCGAAGCGTTAAAAGTCTCTTATTTTTGCACAGATCGAGATCCTGCTGGGGACGTCTCATGTGGATGCACATACGTTTTTCCTTTTTAATCTACTTTGTTCCCTCCAAACAATCCTCATCTCTTCTTTGTGTGCGTGCGTGTGTGCGTGTGTGTACATACCTCCCAATTAGGTGTAATAAGGTTTTGACCTTAAAATGTTATTATTTTTTTCCTTTCAGAACGGCAGATCTCTCATCACTGAAAACCTAAGCTTTTGAACCAAGGTGGAAAAGGGGAGAATCCCTTTCTTTCATCTCCACTGGTGAGATTTTGGGGACAGTGGATGATTGCGCAATCCCCTTCGCCCTGTGTCCTGCTCCTGTCTCTCTTTCCCATCCCTCCCTCCCTCCTCCCCCCTCTCTAAAGTTGGTATAGCCAAATGTGCATTGGGTGCCTCTCTTTCTGATCGTTTGCTTTTTCTCTCCTTGCACCTCCATGTGTAGCTTGCCGCTCTCTCTTTACGCCATTTAGATGCGAGGATCACCACAAAATGGTATATTGCTTCTCCCCCCAACCTCAGCTTATTTCGACCACAAGAGTGAATCTTGACATGCCTGAGACAATGGATAAGACAGACAAAAGGAGATGGCCATCTGAGGCTGAGTGGGAGACCCTTGGGAACAATTCTGGATGTGTATGGACAGCTGGCACTGGCATGACCCAATAAATGTGTTCCCCCATATGTGAAAGCCAATGCCAGGTTGAGTTATTCAAACCTACGGTAAAAAGTAACAGAATGATCCAGAGCGACCCTAGAATGATTGTGGACAACATCAGAGTTTAGATTAACTTTAGATACAAAGCAGACTAATGGAAGATGGAAACAATAATCATTCTATAGCATACCATTAGCCATATTTTTAGATAATTGTAGTCAGGCACTTGATACAACTGATTTGCTACAAATTAGAGACTCCAACCGCCTAGTGGTGTGTGTGTGTGTTTGTGTGTGTGTGTAAAACTGCTGCTTTTGTTACACTAGGAAATGGGAAATCTTGTCAACTCACTTTAGATCATTGACTTGATCAGCAAGTCTACAATGTTGTCAGATAAAGCTTCCCTCAGTATCAATCCTGTCTAATTCACTAAATTTTATAGAGGCCCAGTCTCATATTTCAGTTGTAACCATCCTCTCTTTCCCCGTGCTTTTTCTGTCATTTTCTTACAATAGAAAATCTGTCAAAGATAAAAGTTGGAATAGCTCCACTGTGTGTTTGGATTGATAGCACGGGGAACCATCCATCTGGAAATAACAATCATCCCCCCCCCCGGAAACCCTTGATAGGTATTGGATCAAACATTGCTAGTGAAAAAGAACAGCTTGATCCACATTTCCCTTTTACTGGGAGGTAAGCGGAGCTTGGAAAGTTATTTTTCAGAATTAATATAACAATGTGTATACTGTAATTGAGCAATTGGGGTTCTGAGTTACAGGTGGTTTCCATGTATCATCATATTAATTAATCCCCAAAAGTAACTTTCTAATCTCTAGCTATAAGACCCGGAGGAATCCAAAGGAATTGACCTCCTTGTCTGGTGTAATGAGGATCTTGACCTTCACGTTTTTCTTCTTCTTCCAGAATGGTAGCCCTCTTGTCACTGAAAACATAAGCCTTTGAACCTGAATTAATTCGGAAAGCTTCATTGTTGTTTCTCTGACTTTCAGAGACTAACAGTTCTCTACATGCAACATCCCTGATCCAGAGGAATCACACATATTGTATTAATCTGTTTAACATGTGCTTTCCTTATTACTGAAGACAAAATCTGAACACCTGCTGACTTTTATATTTTCAAAATGTGAGTCAGTCATTCGCATATCTTGGTTTCAATAGCCCCTGCAACTGCAGATCTGTTTTGCACCTAATGTAGTCTTGTTTAATTAAACATGGTTACCAACTACAGATATTCAATCATTCTCCCCCCCCCTTTTCTTGTCTAGTTTAACATCAGCCTAGAAAAAGTTATGGAGAAAATAATGAATATTTAATTGTGGCTTTTTGTGAAGCTGTGGCTGAGCCCACATTTAATAAACATGTAGAAAACTACCTTTTCCCTTAAGAAACTTTAATTTCCCTCCCCCACAATATTAAGGAACAATTCTCATCTGATTTCTGGGTCATCACCTATTGCGAATGTACATAGTGGTATAAAACAATATCAGAAATTGTAACTCCAGGCACACTTACCAGGAAGTAAGCTCAATTCAACATTGTGGGGCTTACTTTTGAGAAAACACGTACAGGATTGGGATATCCATCTGTTATACCAAACACCATAATAACTCTTATGGCACCTCACAGAGTAACAGATGAACAGTACATGCCACACTACATCTGCCAGTCTTTAAGGTGCCACCAAATTGTTTGTGATGAGAACACCCTCTTCTGCAGTTTGCTTTCATGGTGTCTACAATTTCCTAACATTTAAAAACCAATGAAGATTTAGAAGAGTGTTGGGGTCCCCTGGTTTTCAAAGTTTCATTCTAAAAGTCTAAAACGTACCTGTTTTAAATATAATAATGTGTGTCTGCAGCTTTTGCTTCTGCTTTAGACAGTCGTATTGCTCTTCAAGTATGCTTACGTCCATCTTGGTCGGCTGCCCGGAACAGTCTGAGGCTCGTTGCTTTGATGGATGAGTCACTAAGAAAATACCACTCATATATTTATAAGCCTTCACCATCTGTTCCCATAAGAAAGACAAAATCAGGCAGAAGCAAAGGACTTCCTTCATAATGCTTGCCAAAAAGGAAACCGCGTTGGTAACATCTGAAACAGTCACATGCAAAACAATAGTTTTCTTGCATTGAATGGGTCTCCCTTAGTACCTGGCGGCTGATCTCAATCAAGCCAGATATCAACTTTACTTCGGATACATCCACTGTGTCCCAAACCTCTGAACGCAGGCTTAGTTGACAAGAACTGTTCAACTGGAACTGATGTTGACTTAAGGCCAAAGGCAGGAAACCTTGCCAAAATCGACAGTGAAATTCAAAACCTCATTGAATACAGCCAAGTACACAAAAGGCCGGGAGATGTTGGTTTTTTGTGGCAAGAGTAATCCTTAAAGCTATACTGTTGTATGTGAGGTTTTCACTTTGCCTCCTATTATACCTAATTTTCTCCATTTTAGTGTTACAATGTTGTTACTGTGATTATAATCAGTAATTAGTGATTACATTCTGTAATGTGCTTACAGACACTATAAACTGCTGGATAGATCCGTGACTTATTTTTTTTTAGTTTTCATAAGCTTTTGTGTGTCCAAACACACTTCCCCTTTGCTACGACACCCTAACATAGCTTACCGGCTAGGTTATCAGCTTGTTTTTGCAGAAGGCGTTTGGAAAGCTGGCATAATACTTCTATCAGTGAAGTATACTAGATAACTTCTAATCAGTTAACATTATTTATCACGTAGAGTTTGACAAGACTCACGTGCATTATAAAAAGAACTGCTCGGTCCGCTGTAATATGCATGCAGCCCCACAGGTGGAGAAATGTTATTTAAAAGGTAATACGGTAATGGATGAAGCAAACTTTAAGAAACCGAGCTGTGAGCCAGCATAGGCATAAGATGACGAGTGACCTTTCTTAAGAGAAATTCTTTCACTCTAGACAAAAAACAAGCATATCTCTGTATGTACAATACAACAGCCATACTATATGTGGTAAAGTATGATGGGAGACAAGATCTGTGTGTGGATGCCTTTTCAGGTTTTAGTTATCTGTGTGCATAGCCATGCTCACTAGGTTAAAAGCTCTTTGATGTAGTCAATATCGTAGTTGCTTTGTACACATCCACCCAGCTGTAAGTGCATTTGAATTTTATTTATTTATTTGATTTATACACTGCCCATCTGGCAGCCAGGGCCACAATTTGATGGGACTTCTGAGCAGACAGGTAAATACCCTCTGCTCACATATTTAATAAGAATTTTTGCAGTTCTTGTAACAGAAATTCTTCCATTCTACCATGTTTTCCCAAAAATAAGACAGGGTCTTATGTTAACTTTTGCTCCACAAAACGCAGTAGGGCTTATTTTAAGGGGATGTTTTATTTTTCTCTCTCCCATGTACGACAATCTACGTTTATTCAAATACAGTCATGTCATCTTCTGGTTGCTGCACAATGGTGGAGGGTGGTCATTATGCGATTTCATTGTTAAAGAAGCGCTCATCTTGCGAGGCACCACTGTATTACAAGCATCCTGAAAAATCATACTAAGGCTTATTTTCAGGTTAGGTCTTATTTTTGGGGAAACAGGGCATATTACTATACCTATTATTTTATTCTTTATTATTCCATACGTAGATATTGTGATTATTTTTTGGTAACACTAGATAAGAGTCACAGAGTTAATACCCTCATTTAATAGGGTTGCCAAAGGTACATCTTAGAGGTATTTGTCCTGCTGGTCTTGCTGGGTTCATTTGATATTAATTCTGTCAACTCTATAATTGCAAGTATATCCAATCTTTTGACATTAGTGAACAACAGACATGTTCTGTTTCATTTTCCGGTGCATTAATTGGTCTTTCTTGGAAACTTGAGATTGGTCGACAGGTGTGATGCATGGGGATTCTGCCATATGCTAACATGGAAGAAAATGAAGCCCACTGGGTTCTGGTGTGTCTAGTATCCTTTTAGGAAAAACTAAAAAAATTCACTCCATCAAGCCATTAGATTTATTTAACACACCTATTTAAAAACACCCGTCAAGCTGACAATAAAACTAGAAACACAGTTTGTTTTAGAGAAGTTTTAATGTATGCCCGCTGCTTGGCGTTTGATTGCAAACGCTGCATTATATTTTTATGAGTGTCCTTGCTAGTCATCTTTTTTTAGGCATTTTGCATATAAAGGTGGCATGCATGATGATATAAACAAACTAAAAGGATGTCAGAATCTAAGCACCTTGGTTATTAACGCTCCCTTCCACTTTTGAACTTGGAAGCCCCAATTCTGGCAGTGATGTTTTTGATCACAGCCCATGATGGGGTTAATAATAATAATAATAATAATAATAGTAATAATAGTAATAATAATAATAGTAATAGTAATAGTAATAGTAATAGTAATAATAATAATAATAATAATACCATCACGCTGGACGGCCGGCCAGACTGACCGACCCCGGTGAGGTCCGGCGGAGGCGGGTCCCTTTCCCCCGGAGAAGTCCCGGGGGCTGGCTCGGGTCAATGTCCCCGGGGACGGCCGGCCTCCTTCGCCCTGCGCGCCAAACCGAGGCCGGGGAGCGAGCTGCTTCCTCCCAGGCTTGGAGGCCTCCTCAGGAGGAGGAGGAGGAGAAGGAGGAGGAAGGCCGGGGCTGCAACCGCGCAGGCCGCCGCCATGGCTGCGCCCATAAATGCTTGCTACCTGGGCTGGGACTTCAGCACGCAGCAGGTGACGGCGGGGCGGGGGAAAAATGCAAGCCGCGGCTCTCGCCAGGCGAAGAGGGCCGAGAGGGACCGTGCTCGCCGCCCGGCTCCCCGGCCCAGCCCTAGGAAGCTGGGGGACGCGAGCCCGGGCAAGGGGAGGGTCCGGAAGGAAAGGGGAAATCATGGCGACGGGGGCTCTCAGCGCCTCGTCCCCTCTCGCCCCTAACATGGGAGGATGTCTCTCTCTCCCCCCCCTCTTCTTCCCTCCCTCCCACCACCAGGGCTGCCTTGTGACTTAGTCAAGCCTGAAGGAGAAAGGGGGGGAAAAGGCACTCTGCCCATGCTCAGAGGGAAACCTGTCTGGCATCCCCATCTCACTCCCCCGGCTGTGTAAAACTCTGAAAGTTTTGGTCGCAGAGGCGAGGACTGGAGGTTGGATGTGTTAATGGCTAAAATCCAGGAGTTCAGTTGTGGCCTGAAGGAGAAAGGGGGGAAAAGGCACTCTGCTCATGCTCAGAGGGAAACCTGTCTGGCTCCCCTCACTCCCCCGGCTGTGTAAAGCTCTGAAAGTTTTGGTCACAGAGGGGAGGACTGGAGATTGGATGTGTTGATGGCTAAAATCCAGGAGTTCAGTTGTGGCTAGAGTAGGCCCATTGAATCAGTGGCACTTACCTGGGTGTCGTCTTCACCAAATCCCCACTGAGTCAATGGACCTCCCCGTAGTTGCTACTTACTGCTGGATTTCAGCCTTTTGAAATCTTACACCGGGCGTAAAGTCTCTGGAAATTAGATATTTTTTTAAAAAAATACGGAAGAGAGAAGAGTATGGAGACATTTCCACTGTCTTGTGAAATCACAAAGGTGGTTTGTACCTGGGTGTCGTCTTCACCAAATCCCCACTGAGTCAATGGACCTCCCCGTAGTTGCTACTTACTGCTGGATTTCAGCCTTTTGAAATCTTACACCGGGCGTAAAGTCTCTGGAAATTAGATATTTTTTTAAAAAAATACGGAAGAGAGAAGAGTATGGAGACATTTCCACTGTCTTGTGAAATCACAAAGGTGGTTTGTGCTCAGAAACATGATTCTCCTTGGCCTGAGTTGAAACCAACTGAAAATGTTACAAATATCTGTATACCAATAATACGGAAAAGGAAAAAGTCTTCCATAATGAAGAAGAAAAGGGCAAGGGCTACGATTTGGAAATGGTTCACTATTTTTCTGAACAGACCATGTGAACTTCGGTATGTCTTTAGCGATGTTCTAATTTGCACTCAGGCAGTGGAACATTAACCAGAAATGATCGCTTTCTGAACAATGGGATTAAGGCAGAATGAGACAGTTAGTTGGTACTGTATATTCAGTGACTGATCACATAGAAATTATTGATTCTTCCATGTGGAGGACTTCTATTCATTTTAGAATTAATGATGTATTTTTTCTCTCCAGCTGAAAGTAATTGCTGTAGATGAACAACTAAGAGTCATCCATGAGAATAATGTTAATTTTGACAAAGAGCTTCCAGAATTCAGGTACGTTTTCTCTACGAGTGCTCGTACAGTATATGGTGTGACACAGTCTGAAACAAGGGCATTGCATCTTCTTGCATTTTGGAGGCTCTGTACCAAGAATGGGGTACCCTGCTAGGTTCACCTAGGTTTAGCCATCCTCAGTGGGGGGCCCTATGCCCCCCCCTTGAGGGGTCCAGGTACATTTGTAAGGGGCCACAAATTGGAAACAGTTCTTCACACACCATCTTACAAGGTTCGCTCTGCGACTTATCCTGATTCAACCTCTATTTCTTTCACATATGGCTGTGGCCCTTTGCTCTGTGACTTATATGATCCTGATTCAGCCTCTATTTCTTTCACATATGGCTGTGGCCAAAATAAAGTTGAGTATGGCTGATCTAAAGGAGGACAGGTTTCCCACTTGGGGCCCCTCCAGATGTTACAAGGATATATAAACGCTGTTGGATCTTAATGTCCTATGCCAACTGTTTTGTGCTATAGGATGAGGATTAGGCTGCAAAAATTGTGCCCTTTATTTCCATAGGATCTGTTGAGGAGGACACATAGTTAAGCATTTCGTAACCATGTATGCAACTAAATAAGATAGATGGTGGGCTTCAGCTTATATCATCTACATCAGGGGTCAGGGAACTTTTTTTTAACCTTTTACCCCCCCTCCAAACATTTATATATGCTGATATTACCCCCTTGATTTGAAAGGAAGGCAATTGTACATTATTTTTAGCCGCTTCACTGAAAATAATGACATGCCCCAAAACTGTAAATGCAAGTATAAAAAAGCATGCATTACTCCTTTGCATGCGCTTTTAAAAAATAGATAAAATGCGAACTTCTTGATGGGCCCAGATGCCTCATGGGCAGGAGCGGCAGCGGCAATGTGGGCCCTCCGGCAGCCCTGCACCAGGAGGGGGAGAGGAGGAAAAGCGCAGCTGGTGAAGCCCCCCCCCCCGTGCTCCGGCTTCTCCGAGCCAAGGGCGAGAGAAAGGTAGCTGGCGGTGGCTCCCCCTCCATCTCTGACTGAGCTCCCCCTTTTTGGGCGACTCCGTGCAGCAAGCCAGTGACCATCCCGGCCACTTCACACGCGCGGGCGACCTGCTTGCATGCTGCACTGCCCAAGCGGGGAAACTGGCATCCGGACACTGGCCAACCCCCTTCCCCACCTCTGCGCTCGCCTGGGACTGACCAGCCAGTCTGGCCCCGCCACGCCGCTGGGAAAGCACGTCCTTGGCAGGGGGAGGCGGTCGCTGCAGGGCTGGCAGGTCCAACGGCCATGAGCTCAGGTGAGGCGAGACGGGAAGGGGACCTCCTCGCCAGCGCACTGGGCAGGCGGGCATGGGCAGGAAGGGGAGCCTCAACCAGGGCTCCGCCGGGCAGAGTCCAGCTGGCCTGGTCCACTACCCTCCCCCTGCACTTTGGAGGCGAGGAGGGCAGGCGCATGCCCTGTGCAGTTCTTCACCGGGGCTCGCTCTCCCCGTGATGGAATCCCCGCCTACACACAGCCTGTTGGAAAGAAAATGCATGGGGGTAATGATGCATGGGGGGGGGTCCTCATTGCCCCCAGGATTTTCATTTTTGCCCCAATTGGGGTAATTTACCCCTGTTCTCCGACCACTGATCTACATAATGGGTCAGAGAACTATGTTCTGACCCCAAAGTATTTATGCATGGTAACACTGGAGTGGGTAGTTTTGGTGGCATTTTCCTAGTAGTTACAACTTTTTAAGGTTAACTGTCCTAATAACCGCTAGTGTTACTTGACCACAAATGATAACATGATGAAATACTATATAGAAAAAAAACCCTGCTGCTTATATACCGCCCCATAGTGCTTCAAGCACTCTCTGGGCGGTTTGCAAGTTAATTATGCCTCCACCTGCGAGCTGGGTCCTCATTTTACCAACCTTGGAAGGATGGAAGGCTGAGTGAACCTTGAGCTGGCTACCTGGGATTGAACCCCAGGTCGTGAGCACAGTTTTGGCTGCAGGAGAGCAGTTTAACCACTGTGCCACAAGGCTTTATTATGCAAAGTAAAGTACAGTAATTGCCTTAATTCTGTTTTTGTAAAATATTATTTATTATTGTGTTTTTTGTAGCACTCAAGGTGGTGTCTATGTTCATAACGATAGATTAACAGTAACATCTCCTGTATTAATGTGGGTGAAAGTAAGTATTCTGTTTTTGATGCATGTGCAAGAAAGAGAGGTCAGGGGCGTTATGCAAAATATCCCTCCCGTTTTGTACCCCACCTGTTACCCCGGATGTTTACTTTTCTGAATATGCAATGCTGCCTATATTTATGTAGTACATTTTTTGTGCTGGGTGAGAAAAGTCAAATGCTTTACTTCTGGGCCGTCTTTGCATGAACCCTCTCCATCATCAACAAGGAAACGGGAAAATGAAGTAATTATCTAGTGCAGAGATTGTGGCTGGGAATGGAAATCCCCCTTCCCTCCTTAATTAGCAGTTGCCATTGTTTTTAACATTGGCTGCCTAACTCTATCGGTATAATTAGATGATTCAGCTTCCTAGCTCAGCATTATTAAAATTGGGTTATACAAGACACCATTACATTTGCAAGACAGTTTATAATTTGCTTGTTTTCTCTCTTTTTTGGGGGGTGTTGTTAAGGTTTCTTTTCATATTGCATTCTTTAGTTTTGTTTCATTTAAAAAATTTCTTTAGGTAATCACATTTTGTTCCATTATTGGCAGTAACAGATGTGTTGATTTTGAAATGATGTCAAAGATGTTTGGGATTCAGTTCAATGTTGGCATAGATATATTATTTCGCCGCTTAATTAGTTCCCATCAAAGCTGTGTTCCTTTTGCCAATATTTTAAAAACAGTAAGTCCGGTTTCTATCTCTTTGTTTTATGGAGAAGAGAGATATTTCTGGTTTCTTACTTGTTTGTTTAATACCAGGCCTTTTTTTCAACCGTAATTTTAGTTCTTGATGATTTTAATTTTAAACACATATAGTTGGAAAAGAAGCTGAGTTTGCTTTGAAATGGAAGTCTTATTCAGACCTCTCTTGTGGTCTCCTCAAGGGGAAGGACTGCCTGAACAGGGCAACTTCTGTTACCCATGGAGTTTTTCTGTGCAGTTGGTGATCCTGAAGAATATTGCTCCTGATCACGTATAGCAGACCACCCTTTTCACTTGGAAATAGCCACAGCCAGGGGCAGAGTAAGAACTCTGCCACTGCTCACACTTTCAGATTAACTCAATTTTAAATGCCCGAATAGGACTTCAGCCCTGTGCACATCCATTTTAGATGTCAGGCTCGCTGAGTAAAGTTAGGATTGCAACATTGCCAAGTATTAAATACACCATTTAAAATGGAATAGAAATATATCCACACATCTTAGGATCAAAATATTTACCCTTGGTGTATAAGTAATGTACTTGAACAGTTTCTCCGTCCTATCATTAGCTTTTCTCACCTCTGTTTCTTGCATTCTGATGTGATACATTTGCATGTCTTATTGCAGATGCACCTGTCTCTCCTGTAATTAACAGTCTAATCACAGGAAATATACATTTCTGTTAACGTCCAGTTTAATCCTCAGTCTGCTGAAAATTTTGTAGATTGTATCTTCTTTGGACAGAACGGTTTGCTATTTGGATTGCTTTTGGTGCTGTTTTGTTTGTGGCATGCACATGTACTTAGAGTGATCCAGTCCACCCGTTTTTATAGCTGTCTCACTTCTTTTTGGCACAGTAGCAGGACATGATGGAGTGACTGAGAACCACAGAATAACAGCCCGACCATGTGTGCTATAATGCTCAATGCTGTACAAGGCTGTGTTATGGGGAGTATTGTTTATAAAACTGCTATCCGTGTAAGGACAAGAGAATTTATCTCCTTGTGAACATGAACCCAACACAAATCCAGGCGTCATAGAGTATAGGATGTTTGCAGCAAGGCAAAGCACATTTGGCTCTCAAGTCAGTAAGCTGGATTGTAAACCCATGCTTAGGCTCTGATTTTATGCTGGTACAAATCTGTTTTGTTATTTCCACATTGGTTGTGTTCAGTTGAGTCTAGCAGATGGTTGAACCTTCACACTCTGTGCCATGCAAATCTGCACAGTAGAACCTCACACATGTTTGTTGGGCTTTTTTTTCTGGTATGTGTTTGCTTTCAAGTCTTGAGCTGGTGTAGGATTGGTCTGTGGCATCCTTGAGCGATGTCTCATGCCAGTCTGGTAGTTGTGTTGTACCTACACTTCTGCTGTTGAACTTGATCCAGGGTAGCCCAGAAGTTCTGAAGCACATCAGGATCTTTTGCATTGATGAAGGCCTATTCCATCTGATGTGAATGATTGGTGATAGCCCTAAGTATATGAACGAACGGAGAAGCCTTAGTGTGGGTGGATAAAGCAGCTCCTCTCTGTTGTACCAGTAATTGAATGCAAGATCTTGTGAATACATTCTTTCGAAAAGTTCTCCGTAGAGGCTTCTGAAATAGAAGATACTTCCAACAAGCTCACCATTTTAAGTTCACTGTGTTTTTCTTCCATCTGTTTTGAGAAACGGTACTTTGAAAATTGTGTAGGGAAAGATGATCACTGGATGAGGGTTTGACTCTTTCTCTGTGCACTTGTTTTCTACGGATTCCACCTCCCAGAATTCCAGGCACATAGCTGTGTCTTCACTATCAATCAGAACTGAAAAAATGTGGTAGGTAAAGGTAAAGGTTCCACTCGACATTTAGTTCAGTCGTGTCCAATTCTAGGGTGTGGTGTTGATCTCCATTTCCAAGCCATAGAGCCAGCATTTGTCCGAAGACAGTTTCCGTGGTCACGTGGCCAGCGCGGCTAGACACGGAATGTTGTGACCTTCCCACTAAGGTGGTACCTATTTATCTACTCGCATTTTTACATGCTTTCAAACTGCTGGGTTGATGTGAGCTGCAACAAGTGACGGGAGCTTACTCCGTTGCGAGGATTCTATCTTACAACTGCTGGTCTTCTGACCTTGCAGCACAGAGGCTTCTGAGGTTTAACCCGCAGCGCCACCACGTCCTTGACCAAAAAATGTGGTATATGTGCTGTAATTGTTGGGAAAGAGATCTCACCAGAATGAATGAAAATTGTGACCTATTTGCCTGTGTATTCACACCCGTACATCTGTGTAGAATGATCAAGTTTCCTTTTATTTATTGACGCTGCTTGAGGTGGGATAAATAGTTGGGTTTTGACAGTTGTCTTATTATTTCATTTTTTTTCTTCTCTGAAGTTTTGTTGCTGACGTTATATGCCATCAAATTGCTTCCAACTTATCTGCTTGAGGTGGGACGAATAGTTAGGTTTTGACTGTTGTCTTATTATTTCATTTTTTTTTCTTCTCTGAAGTTTCGTTACTGACATTATATGCCATCAAATTGCTTCCAACTTATGGTGACCCTAATAGCGCTTTCAAGGTATTGAGATGTTCAAGGACTGGTTTACTTTTGGTACCCCTTGGTGGATTTTTATGACTGAGCAGGGATTTGAACTCAGGTCTCCTGAGTCCTAATCTGGCACTCTCTCTACTACAGCATGCTGACCTTTAGTAGACACCTACTCCCTGCTTAAATCTGACTTCCAGAAGAACTCTACATTTTTTACAACACTGTATTCACTCTGGATCGTCTCTGTTCTTCTAGGCCTTAGATCTGATTTTGGAAAAGATGAAGTCTTCTGGATTCAATTTTTCTAGAGTGAAAGGTTTGTCTGGAGCTGGACAGGTTAGTTAACTAAAAGACATAGACTAATCAACATAGGAGACTTATACAATTATGCTGTATTCTTTTTCTTCTTATAATGGCTACACTAGTGATCATCCTAAACTATTCTTATTTGGATATTACTGAATGTGGCAAGAAGCTTTTAAGCACTGAAAATCTTATTTACCTTGAGATTTGGTCTACCTCATAGAGGGAATGCTGTAGACATAGTATATCTTTTATATATGGGATCCCACCCATTTATATATGGGATCCCACCATTCTTCTACCCTGGTACTAAGTACAGGAGCTCCCCAGGGCTGCGTGCTAAGTCCTTTCCTCTATTCCCTGTACACACATGATTGCACCCCACTATATAACACCAATGCAATTATTAAATTTGCGGATGATACAACAGTGGTGGGACTCATAAATAAGAACAATGAGTCTGCTTATAGAAAGGAAGTACAAAGATTGATACTATGGTGTAAAGAAAATCATCTCACACTTAACATCAAAAAAACTAAAGAACTCATAATTGATTTTAGGAGGAAGAGAAATGTACATTTACCACTGTACATAAACGGTGAGGAAGTGGAGAGAGTTGGTAGTTTTAAATTTCTGGGCACTTACATCTCAGAGGACCTCTCATGGACTATAAATGCCAACATGCTAATAAAGAAGGCACAGAAGAGGCTGTATTTCCTGAGAATGCTCGGGAAGTTAAATTTATCACAGCATTTACTTCTATCCTACTACCGTAGCACCATTGAGAGTGTCCTAACCTATGGCATTCTGGTAAAGAATACACAGAAGTTATTGACTTCTTCTAGGGTTGTCCTGGGATTGTGCAGCTTGCCCAAGGTCACCCAGACTGGCTCCATTTGCAGGAGGCACAGAGGGGAATTCGAACTCCCAACTACCTAGAACGCTGAGCTATCCAGCCAACTCTTCTGATAATAGCTAGATAAAATAGATGTGATGGGGCATTCGCACTGTTGGTTTCTCTCTGAGGTCCCCAGTCCATCAACAGGGTTGTATCCAGACACATGCCAATGGGTGGGAAATTAGGATCCTGCCCCGACCTCCTCCAGGGAATAGGGATGGTCATTTATTCATCATCAAGAGAGAACACTGCTTTGGATGACATTGATATTTGTAGTCAGAAATGGCTTTAATGATCGAAATGCAATAACAAAAAAAAAAAATCTCAGGTGGAGACAGCTGTAACTGGGAGGTTTCTGTGCCCTGCTACTGACTTGACTGCCAAAGTGCTCCATTTTTATAATTAGACTGGATAACCTTTCACAAAGAGGACCCCATCAAGACCAGGGCTATCCTCTGTTAGTCTTCCAAACAGAAGTCTGTACTCCCTAAAAGAGGTTATATGGCCACCCTACCTGCAACCAGCAAGTTTTCCCATGATATCCCAAATTTAGAAAGTTTGGTTGAATAGAATGTGGTTCCAATCTATGTTGTTTTATGAACTTTCTTAAATATATAAGAAAGTTAACTTCATAGCCCTTAATTTCTGGCACTAGCCAGTAAGATCATAACACAAACATTTTAAATGCTTAAATGTTTTAACGTTGTTGTATATTGTTATGATTTGTAATGTTGTATCTGTTTTTATATTAGTACTTATGTTTTATGGTTAGCTGTTTTATTGTTTGCCTTTCGTTTTGCTATAAACCGCCCATAGTGACCTCTGGTTAGATAGGCAGGATATAAATTAAACAAAGAAGTAAAATAGATTGCCAGACAGAGTGGGTACCCCAAAGCTCAGTCCTTGACCTGGTGCTCTTCACTATTTTTATTAATGACTTGGATGAGGGAGTGCAGGGAATGCTTGTCAAATTTGCAGATGTTACAAAATTGGTCGGAATAGCTAAAACCCTAGGAGACAGAAACAAAATTCAAAATGACCTTGATAGGATGGAGCACTGGGCCAAAAGCAACAGAATGAAATTCAACAGGGAGAAGTGCAAAGTCCTGCATCTCAGAAAAAGAAACCAATTGCACAGTTACAAGATGAGAGGTACGTGGCTCGGCAAAACAGCGAGTGAGAAGGATCTTGGAATTGTCGTAGATCACAAGCTAAATCTGAGCCAACAGTGGGATGTGGCTACAAAAAAGGCAAAAAGGCAGGATCTGTTTTCAGTCATCCCAGAGTGCAGGACACGCAACCATGGGCTCATGTTAAAGGAAGCCAGATTTTGGTTGAATATCAAGAAAAAACTTCCCAACTGTTAGAGCAGTACAAGAGTGGGAACCAGTTACCTCAGGAGTTGGTGAGTGCTCTAACACTGGAGGCATTCAAGAAAAACTTAGCTGATCACCGGGCAGATCTGCTTTGACTGTATTCCTGCGTCGAGCAGGGGGTTGGCCTTGATGGCCTTGTAGGCCCCTTCCAACCTCAGTTTTCTAGGATTCTATGGGTTCTAAGATTCCAGAATGAACTTCCATACACTGTCAAGCATGAATGTTACTAGTTCTTTTGTTGGTTTTAAAGCTGAGATTCTCAGAAGGATGAATGCTGTGTCCAGTACTACATCCTATGCAGTTCCTGCGTTCTTATTGGATCTTAGCGATCATTGCCCCTATGCAGTTCCTGTGTTCTTATTGGATCTTAGCGATCATTGCCTGAGCTTGAAAGTCTTACTTCTTGGATTAAGACGTCCAGAAATCCCCAGACAGGGTGGCAATTCTGAGAGAGGTGGCAAAACAAAACAAAAAACGAAAACATGGACATATTTTCAGACTCTTATCATTTCTGTGATTCTGAGACTATGTAAATATGAATGGTTCATCTTCTAAGAACAAAACAGGGCATTCTTCAAATCAGACAGAGGTTCCTTTAAAATGTAGTCAGCACTGCAAATGTGTGTTGTTAACGCTCTGCTTAATTAATGTGAGGTGGCAATCTGTAATTGGCCAGTGGGAGAGTTAATGGAATAAATGTGTGTATGTTTGTAGGTTATTAATATTAGAGTTATTTGTTGTTGTTACATTGCTATCACATTATTTCTGACTTACGGGAATATCCTGTAAATGAATGACCCCCCAAAAGTCCTATAAATAACGTCCCTGCTCAAGTCTAGGTTATGTTGAAAATGGCTTTTCTTTTGAATAATGAGTTCTTATCTCACTATGACTTTAGTGTCTTTAGAGGACATGTGTGTGCAAATTCTGACTATATGCAATTAAGAAAGAAAAAAAAAAGGAAATTATGAACCCCCATATTCTTCTGGTTGCATTTTATAGTTTTCTCCTCTTTTAATTTAACAGCAACATGGGAGTGTCTACTGGAACGAAGGTGCGCACTCTGTCTTACAGAACCTGTCACCTGGTCTCCCTTTACATCGGTCGCTAAAGGTAGCCTTTGGAATTCGAGGAGGAAGTTCATCTCTGCTGTCACCCCGCTGACTTAATAGCTTCCCTTTCTTTTCCTTTTATTTGTTGACAGTAGGAAAAAAAGAAAAAAACACACACAAGGGTTTGCTTTGTGTTTTTCTTAGCAAAGAGCAAAGTCAAACGACAATACAGCTTTCCTTTTTTTTTTCTCCTCCGGATTGAAACGCTTGACATTTTCATATTTGTTCTTAAGAAATAAAATAGCAGGGGATTGTTTCGTTCTCCGCCCTTCTGCCCCTCACAGTTCTGAAAGCTAAGTAGAGTCTAGGTTGGTTAATACTTTGATAGAAGTACAGCAGGGGGAGACCAGGTATCTCCAGGTAACGTTAGAAGCGAATCCAGCCTGGATTCTGGAAAGCTTCTGCCACACCGTACCACTTAACTGTACTAAAGGGGCCACCATAAATTAACTCTTTTTTCCCTTGCTACTAGTGGAAAGGAGGATAGTGGTGGACATTGGCTTTCGGGAGGTTGGTATACCTTTATTTTATTTTGTGTGACCTTAAGTAATGGAGAGAGACGGTCATGGCTTAGTCTTAGCTCCTTTATAACAGGGAGAGAATGGAGACCCTTTTACCTGCGTAAGACTCTCTGAAAAAATGGTGCATTTGTCATCCCCCCCAACCCATAGTTATACAGAGAGGATGTGTGCAGTGGGCACTCCATCAGCTTGCAAGTTTCGTACTGAGAACCTGACATCTCTGTGGCTGTGTCTCTGACATCTCTTCTTTGCAATCCTCTGCCCCCAATAGTCTTGCTTTTCTGTGAGCAACAGCCCTGTGTGGATGGATTCCAGTACAACTGCTCAGTGCAGCACCCTAGAAAAAGCTGCTGGAGGGGCTCTGAAATTGGCCGAAGTCACCGGCTCACGAGCCTATGAGGTAAGAGCTGTCTGAGAAGAAGAGACCAACACGGACTTGCTAAGCTGACTTTAAAACATGGCTTAATCAAGAGGGTTTTAGGATGAATGTAAGGCTTAGGAGGAAAGCTTCTAATTAAGGGTACAGTGGCCCTGTGACTTAATAGTGGCTTCATAGGACTTCAATCAGAAGAAGTGTGCTTGGACACACGCAAACTTCTGAAAAATAAAAACTTGTTCAGCGGTTCCCCACATTAGTCCTTAGATGTTCTTGGACTAAACCTCCCGGGAGCCTTCACTATGAGCTGTGCTGAATAGGATTTCTGGGAGTTGTAGTCCGAGAACATCCGGGGACCCAAGGTTGGGAACCCCCTGAACTAGAACCTTTCAGCAGCAAGACTTCTGGTTTCACTTTTGCTGACAATAATTAGTAGTGCTTTAAAGTCCACTCTAGACTGTCTGATGCAGTTGAATTTTAAGTGGAAAACATGGCGACAAAAATCCGTTCTGAAAAGAAATAGAGAGGACAACAAAAAATTAATGGCATGGATGGTGTCACTGGGTTTGATCCAGAGCTAGTTATATGTAGAGTAGACCCACCGAAGTCAGCCATACTTAAAGTCCCGTTGCTCTTGGTGGTCTACTCTAAGTACCATTAAGTCCAGGCTCCTGTTTGAATTTGGATGGCAAATATAGACTGAATGCTAGCAGGTAGCCAGTCTTCATTTTGAATGATAAATAATGAGTAATTTTAATTTATGGGAACCTGATATAATACCTACATTGTGCTCAGATCATGCCTAAGTAACTAAGACTACTCTGTCTGTTGATTTCTCATTTCTAAAACAGAAATTGGAATCAGGAATAGTCTTTTTATAATTCCACCCCCCCAAAAAGCAAAATTCTCATAAGACATCAGTGCATTATCGTCTGCTTTGTCCTTGTTGCACAAAATAACAGCTTCCATCCGTCATGAGATAAATTAAATACCCAAAGTGTAACGTTCTGAACTCATTATGGTGAGTTAATGATTATTGAGTCCATTTACAGTTTGTGTTCCTAAGCACTAGATTGTCTTTTCTCAGCGTTTTACAGGAAACCAGATAGCGAAGATTTACAGCCAGAACCCTGAAGTCTACACACAAACTGAGGTTGGCTATTCTTGAATTTACTTATTGGAAATTAGTCTGATTCTTTGTTTTTGTTTTAGTATTTTGGAAGAGGAGTGTAAAAAGCAAAACGAAAACCCAGTGGTACAAATCTTACCGGCATAGATAAGGCAAAAGAAACATCGGTAGACGGAAAACATCTCTGTGGATAGAGATCTAGTAAGGGCTGCCGCCATTTTGTTAAGTGACAACCTCCAGTTGTGTCCAAAATTTGTATGGTTTTAACTCAAAATGTCCTTTTGCTCTGCCCACGTAGAAAGATACCAATGGTGTGTGGCAGACTCCCCTGATTTGGGTGCATTTCCAATTTGAAGGACAACTCTCACACCCAGTGTGACAAATGGCTATTCTGGCCAGGGATGATGTTTGGCTGATGGGGAGAGTATCAGCTTTGCAGAGACCTGTGTACATTAACCATTTAAGAACTGAGCAGGCTGGATCATCTTTCACATTGAAGTCTTGCATCAAAGCAAGTTGGTACTTTATGCGCTCGGGTTGTATTTGAGATTCTCCAGCGTCTGGTACTGACAGTCAATATTTGTCAAGCAGTGACACCCTTTTTTTAACCTTTCAGATCCCTCCTTTCCCCCCCTATAAAACCTTTGCTACAGCCCCTTAATCTTTGTTTTCTGCTGCAACACTGTGTGTAAGTGAACAGATTAGTCTTCATTCTCTGCTAAAACAGGATGCATAAGGGAATAGACCCCACACTCTTCTCCTGATTACCTTCCTTTTGTGCTTCCTCTTCGCTCCCCCTGGGACAAAGAACCGCATGTTGTCTTTTATTAATGGCGCTATGTAAATACTTGCTGGCTGCCAACATCACCTTCTAAACCAGCCTTTCTCTTCCTTGTGGCGAGAGAAAGGAACAAATAACTTCTGCTAGTCTAAGTGGCATTTCACTTTATATACAGGAAGCAGACTTATAATTTGGAATAGATTCCATTTACCCCATCACTGCACTTGCCTGATGATGGCTTACTATATATACTATACTAAGAGGGAGACTACATGGCCCATTTAGCTGTGTTTGGAGCACTGCAAGGATGGGCTTTTAAAGATGACATATTTGCTAGAGAGCACCAGCCTGTTCCCAGAGCATTCCTACCAACACCTTTCTGGACCCTGTCAAGGGGCTCCTGCTTTTCTGGTGCAGATACGTTTGCTCTGGTTTGGATCATTTCCAGCGCATGTGATCGCTGGAACCAGTCCAAAGCAAGCCTTCCTCTTTCAATTTGCCAATATTGTGAAGTAACTTTAATCCCTTCAGGATATTGGCAAATTAATCAGAGAACAGGGGAAGTGAATTTTTTTAAAAAAAACAACAACACACAGACATTATTTGTTTGTTTATTTATTCGATTTTTATACTGCCTATCTAACAAACTGCTACTCTGGGCAGTGTACAACAAGAATAAAGACACAATTCACATGGGAATTGCCTTTTCCCCCAAAATGAGTAGTAGTCAGAAGTAATATTTTGAGTAAAACACATGTGTGTGAGTGTGGCAGTTAGGCACTCTTAAATCCCCGTTGTTCAAAAATAAAAATCTTAAGCTGTAGGTGTTGAACTCTCCTGCTGAAACCATAGGTCTTCGGTTGGAAGCAAGGGGACTTTAATGTGCTTAATGCTCATTGAATGTATCTTTGATCAGTTGGTAAATTGAAATGATTCTGATTGGCCTTCACATTCTCTCCCATCTTCCCTTTTCCAGAGGATATCCTTGGTCAGCAGCTTTGCAGCCTCGCTCTTCCTAGGTGCTTATGCACCCATCGATTATAGTGACGGTAAGAGTCTTCTGTCTTTTGTACTGCCCTCAGACCAACTTAGAAGCTTCTCCTCGAGTAGCGGAAGGAAACAAATGAGACAGGATTCCTTATGAATGAAGCAAAATCCAAAGCCTGCAGATGGGCAGTATCTTTTCGAAGATCAACTGTACGTTTTCAAGATATGGAGGTTTTAAGTCCTCTAAAAATGTTTCTTGGACTAGACTGCGGTAGGAAAGTGCAGCCATGAGCTGCATATAACCCCAGAGGGACATTTGTTAACTTCTGGGACTCTTTGGGGGAGGGGGGGAAACGTTAAACAATAATATCGGTCTTCAAATTAAAAAAATTTTTTTGCCTTGGGGGGTGTTGTATCCACTAATCTTTGCATTAATTGTGTCCTCTTGTCACACTGCATTAGATATATAGGTAAGGTAAACGTTCCCCTTGACAAATGTCCAGTCGTGTCCAACTCTAGGAAGCAGTGCTCATCTCCGTCTCCAAGCCATAGAGCCAGCGTTTGTCTGTAGACAGTTTCCGTGGTTACGTGGCCAGTGCGACTTGGCACGGAACGCCGCGACCTTTCCACCGAGGTGATACCTGTTTATCTACTCTCACTTTTACATGCTTTCAAAAGGCTAGGTTGGCATAGCATATAAATATAGATATATAACATATATAGTTAAAGATCAGCATCTCAGTAAGAATGCAGATCCGTGCGCTCCCTCCCAAATTTGGGCCTTTCCATGTGCAGAACTCAAAAAACCAATAAAGATCTCCATTGATGCTAATGGCACCTGCTTTCCATGTTTCTTAAAGCTTATATAGGATTTATAAAACAGACGGAAGGATGGTTCTAGCTATTCTCAACCTTTTTTGGCCATGGCCATAAACACAATATGAAAGAAATATAGGCAGAATCAGGACTGTATAAGTTGCATAACAACCCTTATAAGGGTAGGACGTGAAGAGTTGCTTCCAGTCTGTGGCCCCCATCAAATGTGCCAGGACCCCCCAGAGAGCCCTATGCCCCCTGTTGAGAATTGCAGGTTTCAACCTTCATAGAATCATCGTAGGATTGTAAGGGACCTTTGAGGTCTTCTAGTCCAACCCCCTGCCCAAGGCAGGAGACCTCGTACTATCCCAAACAGATGGCTGTCCAATCTTTTCTTGGAAACCTCCAGTGATGGGGCACCCACCACAATCCTCAGCCCAATGTTGCTGGTCCTAAGTGAGGCGGCAGCTCTATGTGGTCCCCCTTAGGGAACAATAGGGGTTGCATGTAGTTTGATCTTTAAAGGTTCTCTAGACCAAGGTGGCTAGAGTGTACTCTGCAGACAGTGTACGCCCAATAGGACATTTTGTGGTCTTTTGGTTTGCCCCAGAGATCTATACCTTCAGCTGCAGAACAAACAAAAGTTACTTTCCCCCCTCTTCCCAGATGCCTCCAGACATGGCCTTGTTCATGTTGAGAAAGTAGGGTGAGGTCTCTCTACCCCCCTCCAGCCCCAGAAGTGAAACCAAGCAAAACAGTCGAAAGCAGAAGTGCCATCCCGGGCATTTCTAGATTCAGGTGATTAAAAGAAAAATTCTCCCCCACCTCCGTTTCTGGCCAGCCAACAGCAAGTGCTGGGGGTGGGCTGGGGGCATAGCTTTAGACTCCAGGCCCACCAACGTTCCCACCCTCTTCACTAGACAGACAGTTCCTTCTGCTGTCCTAATACAGTCCCTGTCAGTCAAACTAATAAACACCGGGTTCCCTATCCATCCGAGTTTACTGGCCAGCTTTAAGTGTTGAGTTGGAAGAAACAATGGATGGAATCGGCTGTTGATCAAAGTATTTAATCCTTATTAAAAGTAGGAGGAAAGTGGTACCTGATGAGAATGCTAGAAAGGCTCCAAGAGGGTCCATGGGCTCATTGATTCTAAAACATGGTTGAAAAACTAACCAGTGTTCTTTTTTGCCCATGTGGCATAGAGCAGCAAATAAAGAGGGCGCTGCCTAGTGAAATCTTTCCTGAGGAGCAATTTTGAACAGCCATCACGTGGCAAACATAAAGTATGATTGATCCACAGTGTGTGGTTTTGTCTGCACACTACCTTTCCCTTTTATTTCTTTCACAAAGAATGCCTTTCAAATATTGTTCAGGTACTCACTCGCCCTCTTCTTCATTTCGGCAGGATTTTTAGTATTTTGGTTGAGCAGGTTATAAAAGACGTTGTCAGTTGTTCTACTCTTCAGTAGAACAAATCTTTTTTTTAAAAAAAAGCGGTAAACTGCAGCAGAAAATGTACGTGTCAGAAACCAAAATCTAGAGTGGAGTTATGGCCGGCTCTTTGCGGTACAGGTCACTTCCTGTAAAATGCTTTGCACGTTTGTTGATTAATTGTTTGGTGTTTTTTTTTAACACCAAAAAGCTATATGAGAATGGCAAATTATTTCCATTTACCCTGTGCGGATTTTTTAAAAAATGAGAAACTTGAGACCAAACTTAATTGTTTAGTATTGCACTTTCTAAAAAGTGGCAAAAGAAAACTTTAACCTTTCCCTGCCCCCCAACAATCTGCCTTAATTCCTCCCTGTCTTCTACACTCATCCCAGTTGTGTTGTCCTAAAAATGGCTGAAATTGTAGTAGGGCAAGCAAGGTCTTGATTCCTTCCAAGGAGCTCATAGAGACTTCCAAAATCCTGACAACAACTCTGTTGAAACTTTGTCATGAACCCAAGACCCTGCATCGTGAGCTTTATAGCAAGGGAGGAATTTGAACCTGGCTCTCCAGCAATCCTTCTGCTACACTCTGAGGTTATATCTTTCAAAAGACGCTTGAGAGTAGTGTGCTTTCTTCATTGGACTTCAGTTTGAGCTATGGATGTCGTTACTTTAATTGTCAGATTATTGGATGTTAAATCCTCAGCTCAGTTTTGGGGATCCTTTCTGTCTCTCCACTAGAGATGGGGGTATTCGTATATGAATACAAATATCCCCGCACAGGTGGTGTTAATGAAGGTCCACTCACCGATCCGACACGGACGACGTGATTCTATGGCTCTGCAGGGTGTGATCCGCTCACCACTTCTGGCAGGAGGCAGGAGGACATGCCTCGCTACAAGGTCAAAGAGTGGTGAGTGGATCATGCGATGCAGAGCCATTTGTAGAATGTGCCGTCTGTGTCGGATCGGTGAGTGGGTTGTCTGGACCCTCATTAACGCCACCTGTGCAAGGGTATTCGTACAGTATACGAATATGAATACCCCTATCTCTACTCTTAGTGATCAAGGAGTGACTCACGGGCTAGTGGGAAAATTCCCTTCTGCTTGGCCCATAGCCATAGTCCCTTTAACATTCAGGAATAGGACTAAGGTTTTGTTAAAGCTAAATAGCTCAGTGGTTTGGGTATCCGGATGTGGAGCCAGGAGTTGGCAGTTCAGTTTCCTGGAAGAAGAGCCAGCCTGTGTGGCCTTGGGCAAACTGCACAGTCCCAGGATGCCTTCAGAAGAAGGAGATGGTAAACTTGAGTGCTGTTCTCTACCTGGAAAACCCTGAAAACGGGGGTTGCCATCAGTCGGTATTGACTTGACAGCCCACGATGGTCCTTAAAAATTATCCTCTTTATGAAAATAGCAATGTGCATCCCTAGTTAACGTTGTGTCGATGTTTGTACAGTTGCTAGTAAAAAAGCCGGCTGCATTCTCTGGCCCCTCGAGTAGTACTGATCAATATTGCTTTGCGCCGAGATACTGTATCCCTCCTGTCTGTTTATTGAGTCTCTCCATTCATCCACTTATTGAATCCACTTTTCATCTAAACATTGACCTTTCTCTGTATTTGTCATTGAACCATGACCTGAGAGAGACAGGGGCTATTCATTTCTGTTTGGTATCTGTGCAGTGTGGCAGATGATGGAACTGGAAGTGATTGAATGCTCTTGATGCGGGTCTCTGGAGCAGTGCCACTGTTTAGATTGTTGCTTAATGAATGCTAAGCAGAGGATGGATTTCTCTTCCTTTTTTTCTACACCGGTCTCTCTGATAACATATGAAGGTAACAAGACATTGTGCACTAGAATCTTATACTTGCAGATACCCTTGAGGATGCATTCTGATTTGGTGGCTGCTTAGCAGTGACATACCAGTATTAACCAACACGAAAGATGTTGCAAGATTTAAGCTTGCACTTACATTTTAGAAACTGGAAATTATTTAGTTATTACATTTATAACCTGTAACTTCCAGAAGCTGGGTTTGCAGTAAAAATAATTCAAGGAGCAACCCATAAAATCATGTCAGTCTGGAAATTAAAGCCTGTCGCTGTATTGACAGCTGCCTTTTCACTTGTAATATGTCTGCTATAATTCATAATGTAACTATTATTAAAATTCAGCAAGTTGTCTGAAGGTTCGATAGAGAAAAACTGATGTAACCCTTAAAAAAGGGTAGGTTGGCTGGGCATATAATATTGACCTTAGATCTTGGAGGATATGTATTCTTGAAGGCTTTCACAGCCGGGATCCGATGGCTGTTGTAGGTTTTTTTGGGCTGTCTGGCCGTGTTCCTGAGGTTTTCCTTCCTAACGTTTTGCCAGTCTCTGTGGCCAGCATCTTCAGACGACATCTTCACAACAATACACCCACAACAAAAAAACACGCTGATCGCCATAATCACCCAATCTCCTGAAAAGGACAAAAAGCTGATCCCACAGCTATAAATACTCAACTATCCCACAAACTGCACCAGAGCACAGACAGAGTTCTGACTCCTGTCCTCTGAAGATGCCGGCCACAGAGACTGGGAGGGCCTGCTGAAGAAAAACCTCAGGAATAAGGCCAGACCGCCCGAAAAACCTACAACAACCGTCGTGGGAGATAAACCTACAATTTGAAGATCGGTCTAGAAATTGGAGAACTGGTTCTGAGTCCTGATCAGTGAATAACCTAGTCCTATGCATGTCAACACAGAAGTCCCATTGACTTCAGTGGACATATTCCCAGATAAGTACATGTAGGATTTCAGCCATAACCTA